CGGAGCGCCGTCCTGAAAAGGACGTGCTGCACGACTGTGTTGCTCTTTTAGGATGCTTTGCAACAATACGCACCGCTCTGGAGGACCGGACCCAAAGGGACGCCAGGCAAGGGAGAAACCCAGCTCGACCATCTGCCGCTGCGTGGACTCGCTCTGGACCGGGAGACACTCGTTCGCTCGAAGTGGCTGTAGACAGCAGGAGGAACCCTCATGAAGCTCGATCAGAAAAGTCTCTGAAGCGAAAAGGATAGCGTCTGCTGGCGCCAGGTGAGCTTATATACTCAGTTGATTGCTTATGCCGCTCACCTGCGCAGGCTTGCGCTGCCAATTCATTCTTAATTGGCCCGTTCAATACTCTTTCAGACGAGTAGCTTCTGAACCGAATCTCCCATACGTGGATTTTAACAATCAAATCCACTTATAGTGCTGAAGTTCCCCCCGAAGGGGAACTCCATTTTCTATTCATTTTCAGAAGTGAAGTTTATTCAATCATTAATTCATATTCTTTTCGGCTTAGTCCTTTTATTGATCTGGGGTCGCCACAGCAGAATGAACCGCCAATTTATCCAGCACATGTTTTACGCAGCGGATTCCCTTCCAGGTGCTACCCATCACTGGGAAACACCCATACAGCTTGCCCAATTCACCTGTACCACATGTCTTTGGACTTGTGGGGGAAACCGGAGCACCCAGATGAAACCCAAACAAACCAAGTGGTACTCACTGCAGAGCCACTTGGGCAGAGCTGAGCTCCACCAAGGGGGAGTTTGAGTTCCAGCTCCTCCTTCCTTGCACTTCTTCTATAACTGATGTCACTAGGGGGTTTGGGTTAGGGGTGGGGTGGGTGTACGCATTAAAACAGCTTATAGGAGGTGTTGGAGCTCAAGCTCCCCCTCGCTGGAGCTCAATTGGCTATGCAGTAAGCAGTGTTTCACGCGAACGCGAGGAGAACATGCAAACTCCACACAGAAATGTCAACTGACCCAGCCGAGGCTCGAACCAGCGACCTTTTTGCTATGAGGCGACAGCACTACCTACTGCGCCACCTGTAAGTGAAGTTTATTTATAGACTAATTTCAAGAGGATCACGTGCTTATGATTGACCACGGCCGGTCCCGCATTAGCTAATGCATGATTCACCAATCTGACGATTCCAAACTCACTAAAAATAAACAAAGTGTCTTACTGTACCTTAGTCATCTTCGTCTTAAAGAATCCCCCTACTACCTTTACTCTTCCCCTTTTCCTTGACAGGGTGGCACACTGGCCCAGTGGTTAGCACTGTTGCCTCACAGCAAGAATGTCTCTGGTTCAGGCCTTTGCCTGGCCAGTTGACATTTCTGTGCGGAGTTTATATGTTCTCCCTGTGCTTGCGTGGGTTTCTCCTGGGTTCTCCGGTATCCTCACACTGTTCAAAGACATGTGACAAATTGACTAAACCAAATCGACACCATAGATGAGCTCTTAATCAGCTGTACATCTTTATAGCAGTCCTTAATCCGCCATTTGCCTAAACAAGCAGGGGAGTGTCGGCGCCGCCAATAGAGACATGCTCACGGGGACCAGAGTTTGATTCCTGGCTCGAGGTCCTTTGCTGGTCCTTCCCCTCTCTCTGCTCCCAATGCTTTCCTGTCTGAAATCTCTACTGTCCTATCATAATAAAGGTAACCCCCCCCCTAAAAAAATATAAAAATAAAAAAAACAACCAGGGAAGTTCTTGAGACCTACCTGAGCTCAAACTCCCCTCTCACCCTGTATATGGGAGGGAGCCTCAGGCTCGAGGATCTTATGAGCTCAGGGCTCTATCCTGGGACAGCATGCCAAACATGCTTTATAATCAATCGTCAGCTAAGTGTGAACTCTTGAAACCATGTTATGTTTTTCATCAAAGTGTACAATAGCACAATAAAATGATTTTTGGAAGTTATTAAAATAAGCATATTAGCTGTTTTCAGAAATCATGTTTTTACAATAATATTGATATTTTGCAGATTAAGATACTGTATGTACACATACTGTAGATACCAATTTTGAACACTTTACAGACACATCACAATGTTGGCTATCTCGGTCAGCATGTAATTATTCACAGAAAAAAAGTAAGCCTCCATAGATGGCACAACATGTATCTATTTGTAAAAAATAAACACTTTGAGAATTTAATGGATCAATAACTTTTTAAAAAATCTAAATTTTCTTGATATTTTAAGAGAGTCATTATACTATAAAATCATCCTGTAAGTTTCAGAACTCCAAATGTTTTTTTTAGTTTAAAAACAGCTTATTTTGCAGCCGGTCTGCTAAAACAACAGCTTGTGCAAACTCAGGTCTACAGAAACCAGATTATAAAGAAGCTCCAAAGACAACAAAGTAAAAAAAAAGTATTTGCACATTCACTTGGAACATTCATTCATTTGCACTTTTCATTTGGAAAAGGTGAATGAAACAAAGATCCACACAGTGTCGAACATTTCACTTCATTTTGAAGTACATTTTTGACCAACAAGGCACAATTTGACATCGGATTTTCAAAAAGATTGAAAGTCTTTGAAGTGCTGTTATGTGTAAATTAACATTTTTATCACATACACTATTGCTGTGTCAGTGTTTGATATAAACTTCATATTTATGGACTAATAACCTAAATTACAGAATAGTTCATCTATAAAGGTTTATTAAACAATACTAACTTGATAAATCGGTAACACTTTACAATAAGGTTGAAGGTTGAATTAGTTCATGTGAGTTAATGCATTTACTAACACGAACAAACAATGAACAATACATTTATTACAGTATAGGTTTTTGTTAGTTAACGTTAGTTATTTAAAAAAATAAAATTTTCATTGTTAATTTATGGTGCATTATATGGTATCATTCGCTGTTTATATTTATATATACAAGCCTTATTTTATAGTGTGACCAATAAACCTATTTTGTTATCTGGACAAGTCTTTATTATGTCTATAATAATAATTATTATAATAATCTATAATAATAATAATATATTTATTATGTTTATAATAATAAATTATTATTTAGTCTGGATGAGTTTTTTTTTATTGTGTTAGTTTTTGGGGGGATTAGAAATACATTAACTTTATGCAATAAATCATATTAAAAAAAAAAACACATGTTTCCAGATTCCTGTCGTTTATGTTTAACAAACTTAAAAAGCAATTTATAAATTACATTTTAATCTAGAAATAAAACATCATAATATTTCACAATAAAACTAAACACTGGACAGGAGAATCATCATCCTCTTAGCAATAAACCACTGAGAATATGACTTGTATATCAAATTAACATCAAGACTAAATAAAGTTAAAAGGTACAATATCCACATTTTACTAGTATCTTCATGTAGCTGCTTTCAAGATGCTTAATTTTAAGCCCACAATAATTTATTTGAATCCTTAACTTTACATTATCTCCAACTCAATCTTAAAGCAGACCCTATTCCTCTTTTTAACACACAAACTGCAGTGAAAAACCTGGACTTGTACACACTTGTAAACACACATAAAAAGCCTTTCTGACAACTTTAGCTACTTTAAGCTTTAAGTCTGTGGCTCATTGATCAACAAATCATGCTTGGAAAAAGGTATCCACTGCTAAACGACAAATACAGAAACAAACCACTGCTTGTGTCTTTGTGAAAGCATGGATTCACATGGACTAGTTGCACCATGAATGTCTGTCCATATAGTCAAACCTGGTTTTACACTGGAAACAAGAGATACAGGCATGGCACAATGCCCACGACGTGGAACTCTGGGACATTTTTCCACTGCAAAAACAGAGCAGGGGCTTGGATGTGTCAAAACAGGAAACAGGGGCAGATGGGCCGGGGCCAGGCTAAATGGCCCCGTACTCCAAAACCTGAGATGGGATTCCTGTTCCAGAGGAATCAGGACTGGTAACACACATACACCCGTGCTAACACAGGCATTCCACTGAGACTAACTTATTCAGCTGTTTGTTTTAACATTGAAATTGCCGAGCACTGAAATCATTTGAAACAACAATGGTGGTGAAGGCTTGATTGTATCTGATGAATAAGAGAGAAGTGAGGGAAATACAAGATAAGGGCAAGAAAGAATAAGAGGTGTTATTTTTAACTCTTCTAAAAGCAAAAATGCTTCGCTGGGTCACATTTGAAATTATGAAATAGTGTGATAAAACTGATTGGAAAAGAAAAAAGTATTTTGTTGTAAATACCATGATGAAAATCAATCATTAAAAACATTTTTTAGGGAGTTTTATATTGGAACAACTCATATTCTGGTCACTTTATACTATAAAAAAATAGGCTTTTAAACTTATTTTATACATTTGCAGTAAAATCTGGTTGCTAAATACAAATAAAATATCTAAATTAAAAGTTGTATAGTTAATATTATTTACTGAACATGAGCTAATAATGATTTTCTTCTTATTATTATTATTATTATTATAATTATTATTATTATTATTATTAACAAATGTTTATACATATGCTTGTTGTCAGCTAATGTTAGGTAATACACTAACGATTATAAACCGATTTAATAATCTAAAATTACAGAATTTCAAACTTCTCAAAGCTGACTTCTTAACTGCAACAAATAACAAACAAACACACAATGTAGTTTGTAAAAGACTAAAACTACATCTACAAAGTGTAAAGAAATTTAGCCTATAGGTTTTTCTATTTAGCCTGCCGTAATTAACTTTGCTTAATTGCATAGTTTCCTCCCCTTTACATAAAGGTACTTCAATATAGGTTACATTTTTATACAAAATGAGATGAAAAGGTAAGTAAAAATCTAAATAACAGTCATTTTAATCCAATAACAGGTGCTATCACATGTTATTATTTTAACTCGTTTTTTCGCGAAATGAAAACTGACAAAAATGATTGATCACCATCAATTAGTGACCAATTAACAAGGATAAAGTTAACTAAAACGAGTTTAGTATTTATATAAAAGTATATTGAGATGTTTATGCCATACCTTTAGCCACGTTGAAGGTGAGGAGGATGTCGAGGAGTAAAAGCGCATAAGATGTCTTTGCCATCGCCAGACAGAAGTGCTGGACCGACCAGACATGAAACCAAAAATCAAAAACTCCTCATAACGAATACAGGCCACAGTTATGCTCTATTAGATGCCTGTTTAAAATCCTCAACCCCCGTAAGAACGAATGAAAACAGACTCTATAAAGGGCAAAACTCCTTGCCGACAGAAATAGTGACCTGTTGCGCGTTCAGTGCTGGACTCGTGCACTGGCCGGACGCGTGACTGAAGTGCGCTGATGGAGAGGAAGACGAGGGAGGAGCGCAACTAACTGACTAATCAAACCCATTATCGTTCATTTAATTCTAAGAGAGGTCAAAAGTCAGAAGAATATAGACTTCCAGGACTTGGCGGAACAGGCAAAGTCACTTTAACGGATATCAATGAGGATAAGGACCTTATAATTTAATCAAAAAGTGAAGATACGCAAAATACACAAATCCTTCAAAACAAACTACCGCAAATGCAGGGTAAAAATCATGCATACCAGTGCAAATAAGAGTTTAAAGCCTATTAAATAAAGTACAAATAAAGATGTGTTATTGTTGATTTAAAAAAAAAAAAAAAATATATATATATATATATATATATATATATATATATATATATATATATATATATATATATATATATATATATATATATATATATATAAATTTAAAACTTTTAAATAAAAAAATTTAAAGTTATTTTCTTTACACAATTTTACAGTTTCTAAAAAAATGGTTCTTGAACATGAAATAGCTATAATTTTGTACTGCTGTAAAAAAAAAATCTTAATCGTAAATCGTTAAAAGAAATAAGTTCAAAGTTGAATAAATAAAAGAAAGAATATTATTCCGTTGAATGAAAATAGACTTTCCTTGTCTATCAGTTAAATTAAAATAGATAAAGACTTATTAAAATGGAAAATGCACATGACATCATTGTTGAAACAGATTCACCTATCCGTGTTTAACATTTTAAATGTTTCCATCTTCAGGCTTCCCAAATGCCAATTTCATGTAAATAAACAGCAAAATTTATAAAAAATGTTTTAAGTATATTTTTAGTGCAGTATTGGTACTTTTACCCCTATACTTGCAGTCACTGGTTCATTATTTCCTGAGGATGAAAACCAGTCCTGCAATTCCTGTCCAGTCAAATTACACATAGAAAATAAATCGCATCACACTGAACTACCTCAAGACATGCAGCAAACTGTTTGTAAGCATTAAAAGTGTCCAACAAGATACTTTATAAGCAAAGATCCAGGGACTGTTCAGATAAATGTCACTAATGAGAAGATGACGGATGTTTGATGTATGATGACTGAAATGGCTCTAAACAATAAATAAATACACTATGCAGAATGTTTTGTTTACACACACAGACAAATTACATGTAAACACATCAACCTTTCCCAGTGTAATACTCACTACTCACTCTTGAGTACTTTTAAAAGGGCTACATTTTACTTATACTTTGAGTAATATTTACAACAGATACTGCATACTTTAACTCATTTTTTAGGCAACTCTTTCCGCATCAGTCAGATGTTTGATTCGTATGAAATTGCATAACTTAAGACTTTTTAGTAAAACAAGCATGAACGTCTTTCATCCTACTCCCTAAACTAAACTGTGGCGTGTAAGCATGAAAAATATGAACAAGGTTCCATGAATTCACGGACATTCACTACCAATTAGTCAAAAAAATAAAATTATTATGAGTACAGTGCAACAGCAACAACAGCTTTCCTGTTCTGGTCATTTCTTTTTAAATCTATGCTAAAATAGGGTCTGGCAATGATATAGTTACTTATTACAAAAAAATCTTAATTTCACATCTAAATGTCTTAAAATGTGAATTGTTAAATATCTTGAACAATTCTTTAAACGTTAAAAAATAAATAAATAAATAAATAAATAAATAGTAGGGCGAGGCAGTGGCGCAGTAGGCAGTGCTGTCGCCTCGCAGCAAGAAGATCGCTGGGTCACTGGTTCGAACCTCGGCTCAGTTGGCGTTTCTGTGTGGAGTTTGCATGTTCTCCCTGCCTTTGCGTGGGTTTCCCCAGGGTGCTCCGGTTTCCCCCACAGTCCAAAGACATGCGGTACAGGTGAATTGGGTAGGCTAAATTGTCCGTAGGTTATGAGTGTGTGTGTGAATGTGTGTTGCGGCTGGAAGGGCATCCGCTGCGTAAAAACTTGCTGGATAAGTTGGCAGTTCATTCCGCTGTGGCGACCCCGGATTAATAAAGGGACTAAGCTGACAAAAAAATGAATGAAATAAATAAATAAATAAATAAATGACTGCTTCACATTTCAACCAGCAGTATGGGAGAGTGTAAAGCAAGCCATATTGCCAAGTCATTCTTTAACATTTGTTTTACTCAATGTAATTGTGCAAACCACAGACATTGTTTTACTCAAATGAGAAAAATCTTATTCTCAAAAGCCAGGAATATCTTGAGGTAACCCGTGGGTTTTGACAGCAATAAGTGCAGTTTAAAAATGCCTTTTCAGTCTTTAAAAACTTTTCAGTCTCTTAGTCTGACAAGAAAACAACAGTCATTATTGCTTTGTTTTAGTTACCATTGACTGCATTCAAGGTTGAGTTTTAGAGCGGTTCAGAGACAATTAGCTTCTTTTTTTATATTATCATCTTTAATCAGGATAACTACTATACAAACTATAACTACTACAATGACTATGACTATATACTACTATGTCAAAAGGCAAATGACTGAGAATGTGCTTACAACTCCCTGCATATTTAAACTTACCTGGAGCGCCATCTGATTAACTTAAAAAAACTGTACCTTGTGGCTTGTGTGTAAACCACTAGCAGATTAATTTAGCAGAGGAAGACACTTTGACCATTCCATTGTCTGTAAACAATCTGAGTGGCCATGTTTCCTGTACTATAAAGCGTTACAAGACCACAGTAATTACCAGTACTTCTGTTCCCTCCTCTCTGGAGGTAAAGAGGTTGGCGGAGTACCGGTAACCTCCCTTGTTTTTCCAGCAAGCCGAGATATAGAATGTCCCAGAGAAGCTGCCAGTGGGACAAGGGTGGATCCAAAGGATAAAACTGGAAACTGGGGGGGTCTCGCTTTTGTTGTGTAACAGTAAGCCGTATGACACAGGACATCTCCAGGCAAACAATGTACTAAGGCCACGTATTGTGTATGAATGACGGACAATATCAGGTCTAGGGTCAACCGTTGGCTGTTTACAGTGGTTACACAATTGCTTGAGTACAGTGGTAGGAAAACATTTGCAGAAATGGAAACCTTACATTTTATCATTATGTCACTGCTGCCTGCGTGACATAACTGAAATCACGGATCAGCTAAATGTGCATAGTAATACAAAAAAACAAGTGATGGTTGGTCAATAGATATTTTAATGTAGTAAATAAACCAAAAGGGCGAGGCAGTGGCGCAGTAGGTAGTGCTGTCGCCTCACAGCAAAAAGGTAGCTGGGTCGCTGATTCGAACCTCGGCTCAGTTGGCGTTTCTGTGTGGAGTTTGCATGTCCTCTCTGCCTTCGCGTGGGTTTCCTCCGGGTGCTCCGGTTTCCCACAGTCCAAAGACATGCGGTACAGGTGAATTGGGTAGGCTAAATTGTCCGTAGTGTATGAGTGTGTGTGTGTGTGTGTGTGTGTGTGTGTGTGTGTGTGTGTGTGTGTGTGTGGATGTTTCCCAGGGATGGGTTGCGGCTGGAAGGGCATCTGCTGCGTACAAACTTGCTGGATAAGTTGGCGGCTTGCTGTGGCGACCCCGGATTAATAAAGGTGCTAAGCCGACAAGAAAATGAATGAATGAAATAAACCACAAGACATTTCTAATGTTGCGTTAACCTGGATGTGTGATTTTTCCTTACAGAAATATATGACTTACAGAATATCTGACTGATCTCATGCACGGTAAAAACTGAAGGATTCCACACAGTTAATTCATGCCCAGATAGCATACAAATGTGGGCCACTTTAGGCAGTGAAGCAGCACTGGTGGTCTTCCTTCGGCACAGACAAAATGAATGCGAGCCTAAAGTGGTCCACCTGTACAATGGCAAAGGGGGGCCAAAGATTCAAGTTCATATACGAGGCATTTAAGGCAAATATTTGGCACTTATGGCTAAATGTAATCTGAATGTGAGCCTAATGTGGCCCATGTGGGAAATGGTAAATTTGGCCCAAATGATGGAGGACAAATGTGGGCCACAGTTGGCAAAAATGTGGCACAGTCATTTAAGGGTAATCTGGGTCTAAACATAAAGTGACTCACATGTGTAAGTGCAAATGTGGCCCAGTTATCTTAAGACATATGTGTGCCCTTTTTGGCAAATATTTGGCATAGTAAGCTCTGGCTATTGCGGCTGTGAATTTAATGTGGCCCAGAGAAAATATAGCAAATGTGGCCCAGTTATTTTAAAACATTTGTGGGCCACTTTTGGCAAATACTTGGCACAGTAAACTCTGGCTAATGCCGCTGTTAGCTTATAGTGGCCCAGAGAAAATATGGCAAATGTGGCCCAGTTATTTTAAAACATATGTGGGCCACTTTTGGCATATATTCGGCACAGCAAACTCTGGCTAATGCAGCATATAGCCTAAAGTGCCCCAGAGAAATTATGGCAAATGTGGCCCAGTTATCCTAAAACAAATGTGGGCCATTTTTGGCAAATATTTGGCACAGTTAGTTCTGGCTAATGTGGCTATGAGCCTAAAGTGCCACAGAGAAGATATGGCAAATGCTGCCTATTTATCTTAAAACATATGTGGACCACATAGACTAAAGTCACCATCATGGAGAAAAGTGTTTGCTTTACTTGGGCTCATAGCCTTGAACCTCCTAATAAAAAATGTTATTTTGGGCTGCTTAAGAACTTTGTTTGAAAAGTTTATTCATTACAGCAAACAAGCCAAGTAAAAATAAAAATAAAAACTATAAAATCAAGTGAGGCACAACCTGTGATGAAATAATATAATTCACTGATGTTAACCAATGTTTAATCCATTATTAAAAGTAACTTGATAACATGCTTGCACATGCCACAGAATGATGAAGGTTTATAAGCTAAAAAAATTCTATGGTTCAACATCTGCTCACAGAGACATTAATAATCAGTGTATGAACCTCAATAACACTGTCAATTAACAATATGAACAAAACTCACAAACATCACAAACAGGAGACTAAGTGACAAAATCAACAACGTCAACATAAACAGCAGAATCAACAGC